GGGGTGGGAGTTTAATATCCCCTACTATCTTTGTTGATCTTCCCAATTGCATGTAAAGTTTAACGGGGGTGGGAGTTTAATATTCCCTAATATCTTTGTTGATCTTCCCAATTGCATGTAAAGTTTAACGGGGGTGGGAGTTTAATATTCCCTAATATCCTTGTTGATCTTCCCAATTGAATGTAAAGTTTAACGGGGGTGGGAGTTTAATATTCCCTAATATATTTGTTGATCTTCCCAATTGCATGTAAAGTTTAACGGGGGTGGGAGTTTAATATTCCCTAATATCCTTGTTGAATTTCCCAATTGAATGTAAAGTTTAACGGGGGTGGGAGTTTAATATTCCCTAATATCTTTGTTGATCTTCCCAGTTGCATGTAAAGTTTAACGGGGGTGGGAGTTTAATATTCCCTAATATCTTTGTTGATCTTCCCAATTGCATGTAAAGTTTAACGGGGGTGGGAGTTTAATATTCCCTAATATCTTTGTTGATCTTCCCAATTGCATGTAAAGTTTAACGGGGGTGGGAGTTTAATATTCCCTAATACCGTTTTTGTTTTTCCCATAGGAATTTCGGGTGTTTTGACTTTTTTTTATATAGTCCCTAGTACCTTTGTTGTTTTTCCCATAGGAATTTAAGGTTTAACGGGGGTGGGAGTTTAATATTCCCTAATATCTTTGTTGATCTTCCTAATTGAATTTTAATTTTCACGATTTGAGAGTTAAAAATTTGCTAGTACCTTTGTTGGTTTTTTCCACAGGAATTGCAGGTGTTATGCTGTTTTTTGTTTTTCCCATAGGAATTTCGGGTGTTTTGACCTTGTTTGTTTGATAGTCTCTAGTACCTGTGTTATTTTTCCCATAGGAATTACGGTAATTTGCAACATCATTTGTTCGTGAATGGGACATACATACGCTGCAACGCCTGGGCAGAACCCAGGCGTTGCGCATATATATATATATATATATATATGTATGTATGTATTATCTAATGGTATATATGTCATGCATACAGTATATTTATGATGCCATGTATTTGCTAACGGGTGCCAAACCGTACGTGTAGTTACACACATTTTCAACATGGGGTGGGGTGGGGTGGGGTGGGGATGTTAACGTTCGTTAGCAGTTGAAGACGCCACGCATGCTACGCTGAGCATGTGGTGAGGTGGAGATGTGTACGTTCGGTTGAAGTTGAACACGCCACTGCTGCTACGCTGATCATGGGGTGGGGTGGGGTGGGGTGGGGATGTTAACGTTCGTTAGCATTTGAACACGCCACGCATGCTACGCTGAGCATGTGGTGGGGTGGAGATGTGAACGTTCGGTTGAAGTTGAACACGCCACTGCTGCTACGCTGATCATGGGGTGGGGATGGGGTGGGGTGGGGTGGGGATGTTCACGTTCGTTAGCATTTGAACACGCCACGCATGCTACGCTGAGCATGTGGTGGGGTGGAGATGTGAACGTTCGGTTGAAGTTGAACACGCCACTGCTGCTACGCTGATCATGGGGTGGGGATGGGGTGGGGATGTTCACGTTCGTTAGCATTTGAACACGCCACGCATGCTACGCTGAGCATGTGGTGGGGTGGAGATGTGAACGTTCGGTTGAAGTTGAACACGCCACTGCTGCTACGCTGATCATGGGGTGGGGATGGGTTGGGGTGGGGTGGGGATGTCAACGTATATCGTGTGTTCTCGTTACCTGTTTTGAGGAGTGCATCATAATAATTTATAATGGTTGTCATACTTCTGTTGATAGTGTCTTTCACCACGGTAACGATAAAGTTCATCCCAATGGTGATAAAAATCACCCTCTAATTTCATATGTTGGTCATTATTGGATATGCTTGGTATGGTAACGATCTTTCATATCGTGAGGATAATAACTCATCAAATCACTAGTCAGTGAGGTCTACATGCACAATGATCAATGAAAGTGGCAAGGCAAAAAAGGTCCGAAATTTGTGCTGTAAGGGTTGCAAAATCCAAGAAAAATGACCTTTTTTGGGAACATTTTTTTCCTGATCAGAAGGCCACGAAACACTGAAAGGGTTGTCATTTTTTTCAGCATGTTGATGCGCCTACACGCGCGATTCCACACCCGGCGGGATGTATTTGCATTACATTATATATTCAAAGCTTGTTGTTTATATAAATATATTTCAGTACATATCAGACTCGCATTATTTAATGTCCCTTTGTTTGTAATATACATGTTGTTTATATTTATATGTGTGTGTGCTGATATTGTTGTATATAGAAAATATGGGTAAGTCTGCTAAATCGGGGATGTACACCCAAGATAGCGATTTTTTTTGAGGGACAATTCAATTTTGATTCACAAGTCGCTTTGAGATACCAATGTTTCAGACAAACCCCTCTATATTGTTGTTTTCCCAAGCTTGAGTTTTGTTTTCCGTAGCAGTCAATCTATGATTTGGGTATGGTCGGAATTATTGGACCCCAAAAAAACATGGTTTCTGATTTTTAAAAATGAGTAACCATTTGCCGGCCTAGAAAAAGTACCAAAAATATATTTGATCCATACCATTCTTGGGGTTGCATTTTTTAAGAGTGCCAACCATGATTCTTTGCTGGTTATGCGCAAATGTTTTTCCTTAGACCCATACTTGTTTGTTTCACCCTAACCTCTGATCAAAAAGAAACAAACAATGCTGCCGGCATAAAAACCGCCAAGACAGGAAAGCAAAATTATGGTTAAACAAATGGTGGTAAATTATTACATGTCGATTTTTGGTATAGATCTACCCTAGTGTTGGACAAACTTTTGGATTTTATCCCCCATCCCCTATTGTCTATTCCATTTTTTCCTTATATATCCTCTATTGTATCCCAGTAGATAGATAGATCGACTAGATAAGATAAGATAAGATAAGATTAGATTAGATTGATTAGATTAATTAGATTGATTAGATTGATTAGATTGATTAGATTGATTAGGTTGATTAGATTGATTAGATTGATTAGATTCACTAGATAGATTAGATAAATTAGATTGATTAGATAGATTAGATTGATTAGATTCACTAGATAGATTAGATAAATTAGATAGATTTGATAGATTAGATAGATTAGATAAATTAGATATATTAGATAGATTTTAGAAATATTATATATATATATATATTAGAAATATATTGGATATATATTAGATATATATATATATATATGATATATATATATATTAGATATATATATATATACATCTAATATATATATATATATTATATTATATATATTAGATAGATTAGATAGTTTAGATATATATTAGATATTTATTTGATATATATATATATATATTAGATTTATATATATATTAGATATATATTAGATATATTTATATATATATATATTAGATATATATTAGATATATATTAGATATATTTATATTAGATATATATATATTAGATATATATTAGATATATATATATTAGATATATATTAGATATATATTAGATATATATTAGATATTATACATATATATATATATATTAGATAGATTAGATAGATTAGATATATATTAGATATTTATTAGATATATATATATATATGTATTAGATATATATATATATATTAGATATATTATATATATATATATATATATTTGATATATTTTTAGATATTATTTATATATTGGATATTATTTATATATTAGATAGATTAGATAGATTAAATTAGATCAGATTGGATTAGATTAGATCAGAATAGATTAGATTAGATTAGATAGATTAGATAGATTAGATGGATTAGATGGATTAGATAGATTAGATAGATTAGATAGATTAGATAGATAGATATTCCTCTCTTATATCCCCTAGGTATCCTCTATTATTATATACATATCCCCTTTATCATTTGTCCTTCAATCCCGAATCTTTCCCCGGCTTCCAGGAGCCCCTGGGCGATCGATCTCCGAAAGGTGCCGGGTTTTCAGATCCTGCATGGGAAAAAGATCTGGTCCCTGCACAACAGTCTTGCAATGGGATTTCTATCATGATAGTAATATAGTACCCCCTGGTAAATTAACATAGACCCTGAAAATCACCAATTTTTAATGGAAACTAGTCTTCCAACCCTTATTTGCTAGGGTCTACGTTAATATACCAGAAAGTAATGGTATTTCATATTGCATAGTAATGGTATTGCAAGTTTTACATTACCCTCTGGTTATGACTAACAGTTCGCCATGGACAATCCCTTATAAATGGAGGTTTATAGCTGGGAAAATCATCGTATAAATGGGCCATTTTCCATGGCTATGTTAAATAACCAGGGGGTAATGTAAAACTTGTAATACCATTACAATGTAATATGACATATCATTACTATCTTACTATCATGATAGAAATACCATTACTATTACTGTACTTTTTTTGTATGTTCTTCCCCTGTTACCGTACCATTGTAGACTCTGGATGGCTCTGGAGTGTAAAGTGCAGGGGGGTGGGTGTAGAGTGTGGGGATGTGTTTTTTTCTTTTGCGGGGGGAGTGTAGAGTGTAAAGTGTAGAGTGTAGAGTATGAAGTACTAATCTTTAGATTTGATTTAGGTTTAAAAGGAAAATAGAAAGTAAATTGATATCAATTGAATCTGTAGATTTCTTTTTGGTGGAAAGTCAATTGGAAGTAGATTGATATCAATGGGAAGTTGATAGCTTATGACTTCAACTTAGGACATTGATGATTTAGGGGAAGAACCTTAGCAGAGCCTTCTCCCTACCTTCTGGGGGGTGATTATATAATGCGAACTTGACATGACATTTGTTTACGTACCACCACTCCAAAATAGATAGGGAAGATTAGACATTTTAAATACATATTTCAATCCTATTAATTGTAACATTGGTACATTATTCTTAAACAGGGATTTTGTTTGTCGTTCATAGTCGATTTTGAATTGTAAATTCTAAATATCTTTCGTAAAGTAAATAGGGATATCACTTGAATCAAATTAACCACTACCACTCATGACTACATAAACTTCATTAAATCTCATGAAAATCCCTTTTCGGGCGTTCCTATTAGTACTAAACCCTTCAGCTGGTGCCGCACTGTCATGGTCTGGCTCCAGGCACCAAGCGAAGCGAGATCAGCCAGGATGGGCCCGAGAGCTCCCTGTTGACGCTCAACGAACGCTCGGGGGCGACGGTGGAGGCCCCAAACGTTATGTTTCTTGGTTTATAAACCTCCTTAACATCCCTTTGGATGTCAAATATATACATACATACAGTTGTATGATGTTATATGTTTTTTGAGCTGTTGAAGCGTTGTGCTAGAAAAGAAACCGGAAATGTGTGTTATTTCTTTGGTTTTATATGTTCATTAATTTATTTGTAGATTTTTTGTTGTTTAACACTTTGGTTATCTCATTAATCAGCAGGTATTGCGACAGAACGGTGTATAATGGTGTATATATATATACACATTTGTAATCAGCTTTTGAAAAGACACAATAACAGTTGAATAACAATTTAGAATCAAGGATATGGGCCCTACCTCCACACTTACTCTGCCATATTCTATGAAGTCTTGACAGAACCAAATAAAAATAATAATTATTAGGTAATGTAACAGGAACAAAGTAAACAACAGGAAACATAGAAACACATCAAGAACAAAAGGCTACGAGTACAAACAATCATGAATTGTCCAAAAACAGCCAAACACCAAAAACTGTGGCCCCGACAGCGTTACACTCTCCAAATTCCATGGTTGAAACCCTAATTTTCTTCATCTTTTTCCCATAAAAATGCCAATGTCTCCCCCTATGTTCGAATAAGTTGTTGTCTAATTTCCAAACTTTCGATATTAAAAAAAAAAAACTTCATAACCACATGTTTTTCCCAATTTTTCCCATAAAGAAAAACCATTCCATACAAATCGGCCATTGGTTCGCCCGCCGACACCGACTAAGGAGCCCTGGCGGATCAGAGCAGTCGACTTTTGGCGACGGAGCGTCCTGTTGTTCTTCGTCCACCATGCTCTTCGGTGCGGGAGCACGGCGAGAACCATGGGAAGCATGGTCAACTATGGTAAAACCTATAGAATTCTGGGTAAACCATAGTAAAACCTAACAAAAAAAACGATGGTTTGGGAGTTTGGGATGGTTTCATCATCCAAATATAGGGGAAACAGTGGTAAAGCCATACGGGCGTGTCTGAAAATAAGGTATACCCTTCAAAGGGCAATTTGAATATGGAAAATGATGATTAACCAGTGGATTAGGGGTATACGGTACTTTCAGACAAAACCATATGTAAACGTCTAGAAATGCGGTTTTATTATGAATTATCCAAATTTGTGGAATTTGACCATCAAGGGATAGGGTTTGATCCATGAAGGATTTCAGCGGCAAAAAAGGAGGATTTAGCCGGCAAATGTACCTTCCTAGTAATCAAAGCTAACAGGCTGGGAAATCCTGTTTGTTTTACGGGAATATTTGGGAGAATAATATAATAAATAGATCTATGACATCACAGATGTTCCATGTCTAGCGATTTGCTGGTGCTACCATGGTGCAAGTCTGAAATCATACCTGACTAAGTGTCTCTAAACTGAAGCTTGTTTATATTTTTAGATGAGCTGTGTTTTAGTTCCCTCAAGCCTGACATTTCCAGACATTTGGGATGTTTCATCCTAAAATTTGAAGCAGATGGAGGAGGCAAAACTAAACATGCAGTAGATTGATCTGGCATATACCTTCCGGTAAATCAATCATGGCAATTGAAAATCCTCTATAAATGGAGGCTTTGGTGGAAAAATGATCTACCCTCTGGTAAACTAACATAACTACGTATGGACAATCACAATGTTTAATGGGAAAGCTCACTATAAATGGCCATTTTCCATAGCTTTTTGTATGTTTACCAGAGGGTATACATTACAAATCGTGGATTTTCCAGCCAGCCATGTTTGATTACTGAAGGCTAATTGTTGGTTCCATTGGGATGTGATTTCAGCAGAGAAGTATTACCCAAGTGACCCAAGTGATGGATCAGGGAGATATGGCTATGGATCAATACCTATTAATACCATTTTTAGTGGGATGAACATCCATTTACCAGCTATTTTGATGTTCACCAGGGGTACAAGGTTTTGACCCATTGCCATGTAGAGAGATCCTGACTTTGGACCAAGTCAGAAAGGCAATCACTTTTGCTAGCTTCCAGAAATTGGACTGATTTACCTATTACATAAATAAGTGATGTTGCGTTATTTATCAATTGGTGGAGCATTTTCCAATATCAACAATGGTTCACCATTATTAACCAGTTTTTTTAGATATTACATGACATTACCTATGTGATTATCCATTATTGATCACAATGTATAGATGATTTACCCCCCCAAAAAAAGTGATATTTTCCAGTTCGCAGTTCGTGGCAACCAGAGTCGCTACAGGGTGGTACACGATTTCGGTCAGAATTTGGAGGTACCAGCATGACTTAGGAAACCTCCATATATCATCATATACCCTCTGATAAACTAACATAGCTATGGAAAATCCTCATGTTGAATGGGTAAATCAACTATAAGTGGCCATGTTCTATGTCGTTATGTTTTTTTAACGGAGGGTATCTATAATTAGGGTTAATGTACAAACGAACATCACTAGGATACAAATAAATAAGAAAGATCTCATAAGTTGTAAGCTTTAGCTCATGAGAAATTGGAACGACGTGGTCATTACAAAGAATTAGGCTGTACAAAAAAGCAATGTATGCAGCATAGCTATACATATATATATTTATATATACAGGTATATACAGCCGCTTTTAATAACAAAGGTTACTAGTTGCTATCACATATTCTACTAGTTAACTTTCATCAATACTATTAGGATACCAGGTATATTATATATATATTGATAGGTAATGTATCTATAGATACGTAAGTCTAATTCTTCCAGTATATGTACCTAGGCACTGTTTTTATGAGTACTTGGAGGGTCTATGCAATATACTTACCCCTGCACAAAGGAGGAACACCTTTTTTTTAAGGATGGGAAAGTTTCTTTACCCCAAAGAAGTCTGATGGAAAAGTACATAAACTTCACTAGTTCAGAATGTGGGGCCCCAAAGAAACGCAACATCTTTGTCGGTTTTTTTCACCCCCCATTCGAAAACGAGAACTCGTTCCTACCATAAACCATACCCATATGCTCCATGGTGCTGGAATATTTACCAACATCTGCCCTAAAAATCAACCAGTTTTGTAGGTAAATATACCAGCACCATGGAGCATATGGGATCAGGTGCTTCAGAGACGGGCTCCGAGCTGGGGTCTCTCAGAAACCTTTGGCAGAAAGTTCCGGGATGGGTCTAGATATAGATACCATTAGATACCCCTAAATTTGTATGGTTCATACATGTTAATACATCTGGGTAAATTATAACGACCTCACTGCGACCTCACTGGAAATCATAGTTAGTAAGGGGAATCATCCCCAAATGGCCTTAATTCAGGTTAGTGAAATATTATAATTTACCCAGATACATGTTAATTCTAGTTAATACAGAAATCAATATCTTAGATACCCCTAAAATTGAACGGTTCTTATATGTCAATACTAGACATGAACAGAATTTGCAGTCCCCTGGGGCCCCTGAGCGTTAAATGTCGACCCGTTCCCACATGTTTTCATCGGACAAAACACTGCGAAGCAAACTGGAATTTAGTTGGAAACTATGGCAAAAATCGTCTATAAATGAAGGAAACTTTCATAACCCAATGATTTTGGTACGGCATGCGGTACGATATTTGCATATCAAACTTTGCGTATTAGATTACATAATTCTGATAAAACGTGGGGATTTCCCCCCGGCCATTTTTGATGAACAAAGGAAAACCTGTAGTCCATAAGAGGAACCCAGTTATGACCTGAACAGTTCAGTGCTGCCACTTTCATCAACGTCAATGAATAGTGGAGTGCAGGAAATATAGCTGGTTGGTGGTTTGGAACATTTGGATTATTTTTCCATATATTTGGAATGTCATAATCCCAATTGACTTTCATATTTTTCAAGCTGGTTAAAACCACCAACCAGGTAGTCAATGATCACTTCTATCCTACTTCTGATGTTGCGCCAATGATGTAAACCAACTTGGTGGGCAACGGCGACAGAAATCGTGGTGATATCTGGGGCTTAATGGTGGTCAGTGGGCTTTGGATAGGGTGGAATGGACCCACTGGGTCATTTGCAGACAACCCCATACAATCCACCGTCATGACATGCAGTAGTGACCCCCGTCCAGAGGATCCATTTCCAGCAGGCGCGGTAAAAAGGGAGAAGATCATTGACAGATTCCACGCGAGACTTTCTAGAGTTCCGAGATGTTCGGAGACTACGCGCCGCGGGTTTAGTTAAAGATCCTGTACCCCTAAATCCATTTGTTAATTGTTAATCATTGTTTATTCATTAAAATAGCCATCACTCGGAATATCTTGAGGTATGCTCCATGTTTGGGCAAATCACCAAACGTCTTCCCCACCGCCGTCACTATAGGTATGACATCTCTCCCACGTCCCCGCGCACGGATGGCGACTTTGATATGGCGCCTTGGATGACTTGGTTGACTCCGGTGTCCTCAAACATGGCTCGCTGGAAAATCCACATTTATATAGATTATCCAAAAAATATCAAACAATCTGAGAAATCATGATTACTATATATAATCATATTTATATAATTTAATGAATATAGAAGTTCTATATAGTAAGGCCCAACATCCGTTTTTGAGGATGAAGACATTGAAATGTTGCAGAAAATCACGTAGACAAATGGCTATATAATGGGCTATATAGTGGGCTATAATATAGTGGGCTATAAACTGGGAAACTCATGTACTAAAGTCATGGATTCTCCAGGCTGTGCCACGTTTGAGGGTAAACTTAATTCTTGTTGATGACCTTGCTTGACGCGACTTGTTCTGATGGGTTCACAGCCGCGAAGTTCGATGTGCGGCGATTTTTATCGAGCTTTTTCAGATAGGGATTACTATAGGAGTTTGTCAATTCAAGGTCAACATTCCAGATTGTTTCGGAATAGAGAAACATTTACAACTATAGGAGCTTACCAATTCAAAGTCAATAGTTCCCTTAAAATTTCAGATCTTTTGCGAAGACCATCTCAGTCGGCGGATAATATGCCAATATTCCTGCACATTGGTATATCACCAAGTATTAGCACCAAATTTGCTACTATTTGCATGGTAATGTTCCAGTTCGTGTTGATTAAAAACAGTACCTGGTACCTTAGTCCATTGAGTCTTATTTGGGTTTCAAATTGTTTGTTTGGTGGTCATTATCCACAGTTGCCGCGTTGGCAAAAACGTTTGGCAAATGGTTCCTGGATGAACATCCCCGAAAAAAATCAAAACACATAGAATCAAAATCAGCATTTATGATCATTCATGTATATATTATTATATATTTATATACCATATATAGCAATTTTATAGATACATCAGATTTTCCCATCAATATTGCTGATATATATATATATACATATACATATATACATATATATATACATATATATATATATATATATCAACATTTATAATATTACCAAAGGGAAACAACATCTGGCTTCCCATCCAATTTCCATGGTACCCCCCCGGGGTATATGGAACGTTCCGCCACTCGGCTCAGTTGAAGCCACACACCTTTTGCGCGGCAGAAAGCATCCAAAGGTGTGGGAACCGACATCTGTGGATTCGATGGGTTACCTACCAAGGGTTGATGTGGAAAACCGGACAGGTTTCCCTTGGAACATGATCTACTTTGATTTTGTGGGTTTTCCAGCAGATTTTTCAGTCGCCCATAGGCTGCGAAATCGCACAAGGTGTTGTGGATGTTCTGAAAGGGGATAGGGGTTTAAACATAATTTGCTTGGATCAAAAAAAAAAAATATTATTATATGAAAAGAATAGGAAAGAAGGAGGAAGGAAGGAAGGAAGGAAGGAAGGAAGGAAGGAAGGAAGGAGGGAATATCATATAATCATATTCATATATTTGCATCATCATATTATACATGTAAGCATATTTATGTTTACACATGCACATGTTTTATCCCTAAATCCCCAAAGAAACCCTGCAACCAACCTTACACAAACTTCAACGGGATCCTAAACCAACCTTGAACAAGAACCTTGAGCCAATGTTAGAAACACCCTGAACCAAACCTAAAGAAACCCCAAACCAAGCCTAAAGAACCCCACAGCCAACCCCAGAAAAACCTTAAACCAATCTTTAACAAATCCTAAACTGACACCGTGGTGCCTCCACCATCCCGTATGTTCACAAGGGGCATGTTCGGCTATAAACACATTGAGTACCATATTCAAACTACAGCATTCATTGCCTGTGAAAACAGGTATTGTCATTCTGCTTTGAAGTCCAACTTTGCACACTTGCAATACACTTAGCCGCATGTATGTATATATATATGTGTGTGTTCCCATGTATTTAGATATGTTGTTTATGTATATATATATATTTCTCTGTTTTTTTTTCTATCTCTCTCTCTCTCTCTATACACAAGTCTATAAAATATAATATATATATACACATAACATTACATATTATTATTTATGTACAATATCATATATACATCATTTTTCTTGATCTTGGGAATATGTTTGATCCCAGAATATATGTTTGATCCCTTGCCCTAGTATCAAATATATATATAGATATAGATATGAATATGCATATTTAACTATATATTTACGTGTACGCACCGATCCCTAAATAAACCTGATCCAACCCTAAAGCAACCGTAGACGAATTTTAAACAGACGCTATACCGACCCCCAAAAAAACCTTAAACCAACCCCAAATAGACCCTGAAACAACCATCAATGAATCCTAAACCAACCCGAAATGGATTCATATTTTGGATAGCTGCTCCAAGCGGCAATCTAGACCCAACATCAAAGTCTATTTCTGTTTGGCATATTTTTTGATGCTTCGAGTGGCGAGCTAAGCATTTCGATCCCCCCCGTTGCCTGATCAAAAAAAAAGATTCTGGGTCAAAAAATATATCCAACCCACCATAAAATATATTTATTTAGGAAATAATGTTTGATACCTGTGTTTTATTGTTGATCCTGAATATTTTTTGTTGATCCCTCACTCTTGTGAAAGCCACGAGTTGATGTCCGCCCTGGAAAACTAACAGTTTGCCATGGAACATAGCCCATAGAAATCGATGATTTACCCTATGAAAGTGGATTTTCCCATAAAAAATTGTGATTTTCCCATTAAAAATGGTGATTTTCCCATTAAAAATGGTGATTTTCCATAGTTATGTTAGTTTACTGACTGGTAGATGGGAATGATCCGATGACCGTGGATTTGAGCATATCATATTCGTTCTTTGTGTCTCATCAAGTAATCATGAACTACTCAATATGAATTGATCTTCGCCCACGTTAGATATTACGTGATATTAATTGTTCATTACCGACATTATATAAATGTTTATTGACTTTAATTTGGGTTAATTCTATTACTTACTACGATTACTCAAGACATTAACTACTACTCAAAACTAAATATTATCTGGCTGGTGGCTGGAGTGGGGGCTAGAGAGCGCCCGCGACTTTGCTGATGCTGGACCTTGCGTTTTTCGCATCCAGACACAGCATTGGAAAGATCTGCAGTCAGAGGACCCGTCAAAGTTCGAGGACCCCTGGCTCCCAAGCCAAAATCAGCAGCAACTTGCGTGCAGCTTGAATATGCGCGACACCCTCCGCCCTGTATTGGAGGAGTTCAGCACTTTCTGGCAGCAGAAGTTAGTAGACACTGTTGACATTGAGGACCTTCGCGGGATGCACCGTTTCCAGCAGCTCGAGTTCATTGCACCCTTCCGGAAGCGCCAGGCTTTTAGGGTATGCCTCAATCTGGTCGCAATCACAGAGGCATCAAGTTTGCCAGCGTTGCATTTAAATCAAGAGATGACAAGGGGAATCTTTGACAGCTATGCTGCGCCAATTTTATGGGCTGGGTTCAACGGCCCGTCGCGTATCGTTGGGGCAAAGTTCTTGATCGGCGAGCCGCGTGCAGTGTGCATGCTGGCAGAGGTCTTCCTCCATCTGAAGCTGTGGCATATTGACCAGCAATACATGAGGATGATGTGTCCAAATATGGTAACCCGGTTTATGGTACTTATAAATATAGTTACTGAGGCTTATAAACCAACTTATAATTGGGGGGCCTCACATTGTAGTTGGTTTATGAACCAGCCAACATGGTGGTACTTGATGGGATTTGATGGGAGTTTATGGTGACTTAATAGAAATGTTCATGGGTTTTAATGATTAATGGGTATTTACCCTCTGGTAAACTAACATATAGCTATGGAAAAGCACTATGTTTCATAGGTAAATCAACTATTTCTATGGCAATTTTCTATAGCTGTGTTAGTTTACCGGAGGGTAATTACACCATATGAACTATAGATAATATGATGTCTCCCGCGCAAATCCTCGTTATGTGAACCAACATTAGCTATCATTAAAATCAGCTATAAATCGCAGGAAAATCCCATAAGTTTTGTTGGTTAAATCACCATTAAAACCTATCGTTTTCACCATTTTCCCATGGTCTTCGCATGGTTTTTTCCCATGGTTTCGTTGCACCTTGTAGCGTTTTTTCTGGATGACGACCCCTCCAAAAAGCCTGCGGCAGGCCCAATTCCACGGGCGGCCTGATGAACAACGATGCGGTGCGACGGATCGCTATGGAATCGGATTTCAAAACACCGGTGAAAAACTGGTGTTTTTTTGGGGGAAAACATTGAACATGATTGAAGCATCACCTTTTTTTCGGAAAACAATGCCGTTTTTGTTGGAAAGAAAAAACGGTGAATTACCCAATTGGTTTTGACCCATTTAATCGTGGCTTAATAAATTCATATCATGGATAAGCCAATATATGGACCAAGAAAATAGACAATTAACAATTAATCCAATTTCTCATGGATTACCAGTGGTTTATTGATGATTTGGAGACGATCACTACTGCTGGACAAATTTTGAGTCATTTGACTTTCATGGCAATATTTAGGGTCCCAAGAAAGATCAAAGTAGTTCCAGGGTGTCATGATGATGTTTCCATCATAAAGTACAGGTGTCCAACTGTCCTATCTATTTTGGAGTTGGTATACACACATCGACGATATGGATTGATATGGTGCAAAGCTGGGATACCATACCACATGGAACCAGAAAATTGTTACCCTCTGGTAATTTAACATCGAAATTGAAAACGGCAATTTATACTTGATTTACTTATTATATAAGAATGGTGATTTTCCATAGTTATTTTAGTTTACCAGAGGGTAGTGTTTAGTATTGAAATTTCTTAGAATTTCTAGATTGTGTCAGCATCACTTGAGGCTTGGCGGCTTGGGCCCCATGTCGCCAAGACAGGAAGCAAGGAAAGACAGTGGAAACGTAAAGAGAGACTGACACACCACACTATATATATATATATGTATATATGATATATGCAGGAAACAAGGGTTTAAACAAGAGGAAGGAAGAGGAACAAACACAATCTTGTTTGTCCCTGTTTTTGTTTAGCTCAACATTGTGCATGTTCAATCAATGTGGAGAACTCAAAAACAACATTGAAACAAAAGATACAGGAAAAAACATAAACACATTGAACAAAATAAAATCATAAGATGCCTCCATGTTCAATTTGTCAATGTTCTTCTTGGTTTTTGTTTTCATCGTGTTTTTTCTTCTTGTGAAGCATGTTATTATTTTATTATTATATATATATATAATTATGTGATATACGTCCATCTGTATATTATGTGAACCGTATGTATGCGTTGCTTTTCGATCTGGGATTTGTTCATCATTTTGTTCTCAAAGATGTTTCGTTAGTTTTTTTCCAGTCGCAGTTTGTTGATCCAAAAGGTATGTTTTTAATACAAATACTTAGATATAAAGGTACCCTGACACATCTATATGAGATACGGTCAAAATAAGCGTAGACTACTTTAGTGGAGGGTCCAGTTGTGTTGAGAAAGTGCACCAGACCATGTAAAACTATATGTTTTGTAGATCAATATCCGCATGGCTGCAGATTCTGTTCCATCGCTGATTCCTTTTCGTCCTAGTCTTGCAGGTAACTGCGCCAAGATTGTGATCTATGTTTCTGAAATGATGATGAATTGTAATATGACATTATATAGATAATATTATATACGTATGTATATGTATAATATATATATATATATGTTTCAATATGAACTGTCACACGTACCTTAGTTGTTAGTTTATCTTGATATCCGTACATCATATGTATGTATATGTGGAGGTTTTTCTCAAATAGAGGTACCCCCAAATCATCCATTTTAGTAGGATTTTCCATTATAAACCATCCGGCTATCGGGGTACCTCCATTCCAGGAAACACCAATATCATGTATATGTATGCATATATATATATATACATATATATATATATACAAATTTGACATTGTCACATGATTTGACTTATAACTCTGAATTATACATTCTTCACCATATCCCACGACGCAGGTACGGCGCAGTCGCTTCTTGACCACGGAGTTCTCCGGGACGTTAAGCTCTGTCCGGGGAAGTGTGCTGCCCAGCGGTTGTTGTTGTTGATGTTTTACATGATAGCTATAGAAAATCACCATTTCTAGTAGGTAAATCACCGAAGTAAATGGCCATGTTCTATAGCTAAGCTAGTTTACTGGAAGGTAGATGTGGGGTTAGAATGTGCTGTGCTAGAAGCCTGGTTGTTAGGCTTATCTTCCACATATACAAATGGAAGCAAATGGTAGATCAGCAGGAAAATTTGGTTTTACCCTCAATTGGCTCAATTTATTGTTATTTCAATGGGAAACTCGGGATATATTAAAACCATTGTGGAATGAGATAACAGGCACTTTCAAGATCAAGATCACATCTCCCCAGGGGTCATCTTTCCAAAATCATGTGAAACTTCATCGGGTACCAAATTTTATGTTGACCCGGCCCACATCCAAATGGATAAGTGAATTTGTTCAAATCCTAGGCCAAAGTCGGCAGGTCCTGGTAAGGGGCCTAGCTACGGAGGTCAACTATGGTTTATGGTACCCTCTCATTTATAGATGTTTTTTGATGTTTTTACCTATTAAAAATGACCATTTGCAATAGCAAACTGTTAAATTCCCAGAGGGTAATGTTTTATTCCCCACCTGCCAGGTGAGGGTTGTTAGATTTTATGTCAGTTGCCTCCTCCTCCTCCTGCCTCGTCCTCCTCTCGTCCTCCTCTCCTCCTCCTCCTCGTCCTCCTCGTCCTCCTTGTCATCCTTGTCGTCCTTGCCGTCCTCGTCGTCCTCGTCGTCCTCGTCGTCCTCGTCGTCCTCGTCCAACTGCGACCCGCGATCCACAGTGTTCTCTGCCGGACCTCAACCACGACCATCCACGCCCAGTGTTCCCTGCCGGACCTCAACCACGACCATCCACGCCCAGTGTTCCCTGCCGGACCTCAACCACGACCATCCACGCCCAGTGTTCCCTGCCGGACCTCAACCGCGAGTATCCACGCCAAGTGTTCCCTGCCGGACCTCATGTAGGAAGATATGGGACAAAGAATGTGCAGAAGAAAGTTAGAAAGAATGTCAGAAAGAATGTCAGAAGATATGCCAGAAGATATGCCAGATAGAATGCCAAATAGAATGCCAGATAGAATGCCAGATAGAATGCCAGAAGATATGTCAGAATATATGCCAGAAGATATGCCAGATAGAATGCCAGATAATATGCCAGAAGATATGCCAGATAGAATGCCAGAAAGAATAGAAGATATGCCAGATAGAATGCCAGAAAATATGCCAGAAGATATGCCAGATAGAATGCCAGAAGATATAGCCAGAAAATATGCCAGAAGATATGCCAGATAGATATGTCAGAATATATGCCAGAAGATATGCCAGATAGAATGCCAGATTGAATGCCAGAAGATATGTCAGATAGAATGCCAGAAGATATGCCAGATAGAATGCCAGAAGATTTGCCAGATAGAATGCCAGAAGATATGCCAGAAGATATGCCAGATCATATGCCAGAAGATATGCCAGATAGAATGCCAAATAGAATGTCAGAAGATATGTCAGATAGAATGCCAGAAGATTTGCCAGTAAGAAAATGTATAAATGTCATGGTGGGGATCACACGAAGTAAAGTATCTTTTTTTCATTACACCAGCAAACATAGCTGGGGGACAGCACCAAAATTACCTCAAGTCGTTTCGATCCAAGACTTCAAGAGTGCCGCAGATTAGAAGCTCTCCATAGTTTCATGTCTAGTCCGTATATCCATGTACCCTCTTGAAATTTGACATGTATACAAATATATATATATATATATATAAACTACATAGATATAGAAATATTGGAAAATAACCATTGGAATAGATTAGAATAATAGTAGGTAAATTATCGATTTTGAAATGGGACCTTCCCTATAAAGCTTCTTTAAATTACCAGAGGGTACCGATGAAAGAAGGAAAACTCTGGGTCCTATACAGTGGAGTTCCACTCGAGTGTTCACCGAAGTTCCACGAAGGACATCCACCAGACATTGCACCGACCATGGCTCGCCCCAAATGGCTGAGTGCCACGCAACGTGGACCTGGAGGACCTGGAGGATCTGGCAGTCCCTTTCCTGGGAACGTAACGATCGTAACGTCTGCAACAACGGCCCGGCCGTTAAACGGAAGGCACGACATCAGCGATGGCCGTGGCATGCCGTGACTGTATTGGCTCACCAAGTGGCCGTACCAGAATACCAGTTAGATTCCATTGCGAACCCATATGATCAATATTTGTTAGGGGATAACAAATGTCCCAGCAAATCATTTTCCAGCAGGGTAAAGTCTCTCATGTGTGAGCCACCCACACCTGATTATGTACCGAAATTGTTGTTCACCGCTTAAAACAAGACAAACAGCACTATTGCATCTCTCATGTTTCATGCTCTTTGACAATCTTTTGCTTCAAAATCCCATAGATCTCTGATCATTCTGTGCTTTGTGCCTTTTTTTGGTTTGTGTCATGTTTGAATGGTGGTTTCCTGAGTCATATGGCTACCCCCAGTTCTCATCCATTTATAGACAGGGATTTTCCATGATTCACCCAGTGCCGCCAGGTTCTGTTCGGAGTTCTTCAGCCGGTCGAGTGACCTTGCAAGGTGGTCACGTTTGCCATGCATGGCACGAGGAAAAAAGGCGAAAGTCACTGGTGAATGACCATATTTTGACATATTTATGGGAGAAAATATGGTTATTCACCAGAATTTATGGGTTATTCATCAGTTACCCTCATTTTATGAGGATTGAACCATGAAGAATATGGGGATTCTCTAAGGGATTAATTACCCTCTAGTAATTTACAGTTTGCTATTGAAAAATTGCACATTTATAGTTGATTTACCTATTCAACATGGTGATTTTCGATAGCTATGTGGCTATGTTAGTTTACCAGAGGATATGGGAGAAAATATGCTTGTTCACCAGAAGTTATGGGCTTATTCACATTATTCACCAATTACTTTCATCAATAATTTGAGTTTAACCAACGCCCACTGGTTTGGGATTCACCAGAATTGATCAGAATTGTTATGGTATCGTCCCAGAAAGTCCGTGGTGATTTTTACAAAGCAGTAAGTAACTGCAAATATATGGGTTATTAATGGTTATTGCATGGTATAACCATGGTTAATAAGTGGCTGTGTAATAATAATGATAATAATAATGATAATAACAAATATTAGGCTTAATAGGTGATTAATATGCCATAGTTCATTCACTCATGGAAAAAGACACATAGGAATCGGAGACTTACGATCTGAGTGGCCTTGGCGTTCGCCGGTGGGGATGATTCCCCAAGTACCATCCGGGAGTGACCCGTAACTTGGACCATGTTTGATAGATGGAAACGTTGTTAGAGTAAATGATTGACCTAGTTCGATATTATATATATATATATACATACATTACATACATATATATATATATATACATGTTATTATTATGTATTATATATATGTTAACTATTGAATATTAATGGAAACTATCGTGTGGACAACATATTGGGACTGTAACATATCAGTTTGACCCCGTGGTATCCGGAGATGGACTGGTCATATTCAGCAAACCCTAGTGGGTGCGTATCACATCCGGTATCTTCAGGAAGTCTGGGGGAATACCCCAGAGGATAAACCCATGTTTTGATCCTCTCTGATTTGAATTCCCATTGATTTTAGTTGCTTACATATGCTTTTAGACATATATATATACATATATATATATGTATATGTATATGTATGTGCATATATATATATATATATGTACATATATATATATATATGTGTGTGTGTACATATATATATATATATTTACATACAAAACTGATATTCTGATATATGTACACTTGTTATTCCCAGGTTGGTCTACATCCCAATCCGTGTCAGGCTGCAATGGCTCCGCCATTCTGGCCAGGACGGAGTCCAGATTCGGAAATCTGGCAGATTGCCATTGAAAATCAGCATCTTTTACCCTCTGGTAATTTGTTACATAGCTATTGAAAATGGCCATTTATAGTTGATTTACCCATTGAAAATGGTGATTTTCCATAGTTATGTTAGTTTACCAGATGGTAGGCCTTTTTCAAGCATAAACCATCACCAATATCACAATTTTTATGTATAAACCATCCCCAAATGAGAGTTGTTGATGGCATTGGGTTGCAATCACCGTATTTGGATAGGTAAATCATTTGGACATCGGATGAAATAAGTCATTTTCCATCACCAACTGTTACACTGATGAAAAAAGAGCGTGCGCAGTTGGGTGCAGTTGGAGATATGAAATGACAATTGTAAGTATAACCCCCCTAAGTTGGCGGAACGTCCCGCTTCAAGTATGCAGTATGGCCCTACTTGCGCATGGCTGAGGTCCAAGGGGGTCATTAAAAAAAAACACATTCCCTTAGCTGAAACCCGGCTGCAATTTTTGGTGATTGTTCAGCGAACTTTCAGCGAACTACCTTGGCGGTTTCATATGTTTTTTTTCATGTTCATCCCTGGGGAACCATGTGTGTCATGGTCAAAACGTTCTTTGAATACCAAGATTGGATGATAGTCATCAATCCATTCATAGGTTTTTACCTTTTTTTACCATGAAGCCACTTCCTGGATGGAGAAACCAAAGTTTGACAGTTTGATGGCAATTTAGCCAGCCACAGCAAGCCAATGGTTCATATCCACACGAAGAGAGGACCAACCAGTCACACCAGTCGATACTTTGGCAACGTCAGGCTGTCTAGTCATGCTCGCGCCAGGAGAAGAAACATGGCTGGAAATTGAAGGGCGCAGCGGGGCTTTGTGCTGCTTCCACGCCGTGGGGCCGTGGACCACTGGGGTTGTCCAATCCTATGGCTTTCCTGCCTGAAAATGCTCTGATAGCCCAGATTTCAATGGGTTGGTGGTTTGGAAGAACAAAAAATCATGTATTCACCTTAAAAAATAGCCGGTTTTAGGCATAAAGGCATCCAGTTTCTGACATCATTTTTTTTTGCGCCAGCAGGTGCCATCCCATGCCATCCCCAAATGGGAGCGGGAGCTATTGGCGCCATCCCACATTCGTATTAGTCATGAATGAAGTTCTAATGACGTAAATATGGCAATCGTGGTTTAATAGTGATATATAGTGATTGGTTAGTAAATTCTGATAATTATATTTAATTATGCCAACACTGTCGTTTGGCCAGATAAACATGTGTGAAGTTCCCTTTGATATACAATATATTATATAGGTAATGATGACCCTCCTACCCATACCATTCGAGTATATGCAAGTATTATTCAAGGCAAAGGCATTTTACCAACATTTTACCAAAAAAAAATGTTCCGTGTTTTCTGGGTAAACATCCTCTACCTGGATCTTCCGGGAAGGGGGGGTCACACTGGCGTACCCGCAAAAAAACGGATCGGCGGAGCCGAAGTCCCTGGAGATGTTCCCTCAAATGATGCTAGTGATTAGTGATTCAATGGGATTTTATGGTGACTTAATGGGAATTCATAGGATCTAATGGGATTCACTGGGAGATACCCTCTGGTAAACTGTTACATAGCTATGGAAAGATCCAGCATTTTCTAGCTGAGTAAATCCACGATTTTGATGGGCCATGTTCAATAGCAAACTGTTAGTCATTACCAGAGGGTAGTGATTGTTGTCCCTTGAACATCCCAATGAACATCCATCGCTTCAATTGCATAGACATGGAAAAGCCTTGGTTTTCCCCAATGAACTGGGCTAGATTTTTAGATATCTAACCCATGTTCTGGTTCATGTTCAATATCTATCCGAACCTATCCTAGTTTATAGCAACCCCCAAATGACGCAGACCATGTTTTACTCTAGAAATTGATGGGGTATTTGAACCCCAAAAATGGCTTTATTTATAGTAAGCACCCACATGATACAATACAAAACATGTTTGATCCCAATCCCATCCTAAAATTCAACACCCCCATAGACCATGGTCCCGATTAAGTGCAAATCTCCTACTAAACCACGGGTTTCTTGGTAGATAACCACCAACCCAACGGGTGGCTCCTGAGCTGCAGCTGGGGTAGAAAAGATTCTTGGTCACCCATCCCAAAATATCCCAAATGGTTAGCATTAGAAAATGGATTTTGGGGAATGAATCAACTTTGGAGATTCCTGGAATTATAAAACATGAGTTCTTACGTATATGATTTTCCAATTGATTCCCCGAATTGATTCTCAAATTGTGGGAATCAAAGCAAGAATGGGCCAACATGTTTGATTTGGGGATCATTGAACTTGTGAAAAGAAATGGTGGGCCATTCGCCATCCTCGGAGATCCAATGGGTTTCGAATGACAGATGTTGGTTTAGATCAATCCACACCATGTGTCAAACTTGGACATTTTTCAAGTTTTGGGTCTGAGATTTTGATTGCGCTAGTTTTGGTGTTACTTTTCGACTCTTTTCGTTCAAGTCCAAGCCTGATGAGGTTCAGAGATAGATATTGATCGACCAAATTTTAAGAATCAAAACAAAAAACTACTTGGAATTGTAAACAAGAGAAGATAAAGCACCCGAAGTCATTATATTTTAAGTTTGCAACCAACCCCTCCTAAGGTGACCACTGAAGAATAAGGGTTAATATCTATCTATTTTTCTGTGTATATATATATATTTATATTCGAACAACTATTACAGAATTTCTATAATCTATAATATCTATCCAATACATGTTTTTTGGGGTTTAGTAACCACCAACAACCGTTAAGTGCGAAACTTCACCAGAAGGTGGTTAAATCCCTATGCATTGTCCAAAGCGTTTCGGGTTGTACCCTGGCTGCGTTCTGCTAATTTGCTGACCGGCATGGAGGCAAAAAATGTGGGGTTTCACCACTCCAGATGCCATTGATTGTGGATCATGGGGAGTGGGGATATGGATACTGGGGACATATGTAGATATATAATGAATATATATATATATATTCATATATATATATATATTCATATGTATATATATATATATATGAACCATATGTGTAAGTGTATGTTGAAAACCTGGCTTATAATATTTTTTTGGCTCAGGGCTTCAAACTACTCATGAAGTCTTCTTTGGCAACAGAACATCATGATTTTCCATATGATTTTCCCATGAAAAGCATTGAAAAGCTACATTGTGAGGCCCCCGTTCGATAGCTAAGTTGGTTAACAAAAGCCCCAGTAACTAGTTCGTTATTTGCGTACCATAAACCATAGTTATTGGAGTTATGTGCACCAACTGAACGCTATCGAACGGGGGCCTCACAATGTAGGATTTGTTCCAGAGCAGAGATTTACTCAGGGTAGATTCCAACGACCTCTCAGCAACTGGCTGTGGTGATTCAAACGTCCATGTCTAGCTCGCGCTGGGTGAGCTGCTTGAATGAACAGTGTTCCTTCACCCCTGTTGGTTGATGGATGTTTTTCTTACTGGTGCTAAACGCAGGGAATGGATGGGTTGCTGGGGGTTGCTGGGATGATTATTACTAGTGATTATGGATCATTCCCGAAAATTCCCTGCGTTTAGCACCAGTAAGTTTTTTTTTCTATAGGTTTATACATCGTAACATCCATGTTATTTGGGAATCATCATCAGCGGAATCACACTGTTCGCCAAGCAGATTTTTTTTTGATCATCCATTCGGTGAATTCCTACCAAACAACGAGGGAAATGGAATGACGTTGCGGGTCTTGAACACTGCTCATATGTACCCCCCCGCCTGCTCGGTGGAAACCCGAAGAAAGTTTGAAGCGCACCAGCCAGGCCAAGTTTCTGTGAGGAGCTCCCAGGCCATGGAACGATATTTAATGTGCAGTGTGTATAATATATATATATATATACATACAGTGTATATATATACATAATATATTGATACATAATATATATATATATGTTAAATTATATATATACAGTATATATCTATGTTAAATTATATATATGTACAGTATATATATATATATGTTAAATTATATATATACAGTATATATATATATATGTGGGATGTACTATATATATACTTATATAATGTATATTCATATATTGTTTAATGAAACATTGCAGTTGCCCCATTATTTTTTACACAAAAAAACAAGTTTGATTAACCATGATTTGCGTTGTCCCAACCCTACCTCATGCCGGCATCGTGGCCTTGAAGATGGTCGTGCCTAGAAAATGGAGGATACAATGGACATGTAATTGAAAATCCTACATAGGGTATATAGTTATCTAAATAAGTCTATCAGGGTAATGATAAGTCTATAAAATGCAATATATATATATATGTATTGCCTACAATAGATGATTACTGTACAATATTTGAAAGCCCTAATGGAAGAGATAACCTATAGTAAATATGTATATATATATAGGTTCGTATATTATTCATTATTCCAAGAATTGATGTCCAGGAAGACGAAAACATGCACGACACATCCAAAAAGATTTTGCGGAGACACACCCTTTGGTACTTTAACAGTTTGCATCAGTGCGCTTTTGTTTGGATTTAGATTGCCCCTTCAGTTCGATGATTTACCTGCTGATTTTCCATACCGAACTGCAACAGGAGGATGGAATGTACAGCCATCTTGGTATGATACTTTGGTGCGAAAATGAGGGATTTGCCTCCAAAGTAACCACTAAAAATACCATTAACTATCAAGCAATGAGCGAACATTATGGTAAATAAAGTTGGTTTTTGGGGTACCCAGTTTTCAGGCAAACCCTTATTATGTTTGTATGTTCTCACAACTGTTATATATCAATGTGTGATAATTTTTTATCGCCTGCACTCTCAGAATCATCGCTTGTGACAGTAGGTCCTAGATTTTTTCGACAGAAAAAGTCGGAAAGTCCCACGACTTTCCAGTGTTTCCTCATCGGCCGAAAGGAGCGACAACTGGTAACGGTGCAATAAACGACGATTTTCAAGCATCATCCACCGGCAAATTTGGTGAATCTCAACCTGCGGAGGTGGCGAAGAAAAATGTGAAGGTTGTTATATGCAGCTAAATCACATATATATATATTTAAATAGGCAATTGTCCATCGGTATGTTACATTATTGGAGGGTATCATCTTTCATAGTGCCTCTGGAATCTCTCAACATGGATTTATTTCAGCTTTGAGACATCATTTGCCCGGATGAATCACCTCGCCAACCGGTGTGTCTCAAAGTGGGCGACAAGACCCGACTCAAACATACTCAAAATCTACGGCTAAGAGATGAACATCACAGGATCGACTCATTACCCTCTGGTAATTTGTTACATAGCTATTGAAAATGGCCATTTATAGTTGATTTACCAATTAAAAATGGTGATTGTCCATAGAATGTTAGTTTACCAGAGGGTACAACTGATTATTCCGTCAACCTTGAGTGTTTCCTGAAGCATACCAGGGTTTAGTATCAAACCCGTTCCGTTTGACCCTTTGGTAAATGCTCGGCAGAGGCATGTTCGAGGCAAGAGTAGGACGGCTGTGTTCTGGATATCTGAAATCAACCATTTGGTTAAGAGATGTTAAGAGATGGATTTTTGGAAGTTGACGGATTAAAACATGTTCGAACATGAGTATCAGCAGCAAAATCACTATAAGACATTAGAAAGCAATATCGCAGGATATTTAGACAAAAAATGTTGAAGTTCTTCAAGGTCACTTCAAGGTCACTTCAAGGTCACTGTTTGTCCTTTGCAATGGTTCCTGGAGTTGGGTATACGCATCTGGTTGAAGGTTTCAACAAGGCGTTTTTCCAACTATCAACAACCAGACATCATCGTCCTTGTGAAGAAGAGCATCGCAACGGATAGTCCACCATTTGTAGCTATTGTACCTTTTTCAAAAGTTGCTATTTTTTGTTGCAAAGTCAAAGGCCACTATATACGGTAGAAGGTGGTGTATCCCAATTGAAGGTT